GTGAGGGCCCGGCTGGGTGGCTCTCTGCCCTGTGAGGGCCCGGCTGGGTGGCTCTCTGCCCTGTGAGGGCCCGGCTGGGTGGCTCTCTGCCCTGTGAGGGCCCGGCTGGGTGGCTCTGTGCCCTGCTGACATTGGTAGATGAAGCAAAGTGGCGTTTCTTGTCCGCATGCGTCCCGTTGACCTTATAAGGTGGATTACCGCTGTTTGAGGGAAAACCGCCTTTATTTGGCAAGTAAAATCACCACCTTAAGCGGACGCTCAAATTAACAGTGACATTTACTCCCCCCTTCCAACACTAATCACTGATTATCAGGGGCAGTAACAAATTTGTGGGAATTGAGTCTATGAGAAGCGAGGATGTGCTCTGCGTCTATTCGCTTCTCGGGTCTGTGTGTATTTAGGGGTTTGATATGGTTGTGTCCATGTTCAGCAAGCACTCTCTTCAGATTAATACCTTTTGTGTGTATGGATCTTAAATATTACAGTCGTTCCTCAGTATCCCCTGGGGATTGGTTCCAGGATTCCCCATGGATACCAAAATCCACGGATACTCAAGAAAGGCATTGAATTTGCTTAGAACCTATGCACATCCTTCATGTATACTTAAAATAATCTTTAGATTACTTATAATACCTAATACATTGTAAATGCTCTGTAGATAGTTATTTTGTATTCTTTAGAGAATAATGACAAGAAAATATAAATTCATTCTTTCTCTCTCTCTACATATCACTGCATCCGTGTGGATTCTGCCTAGTGCTTGGTGTGTGGCAAATAAAAATTTTGCTCTCTGGATCATTCAAAATTTTTTCCCCCCAAAATATTTTCGATCCACAGTTGGTTGAATCCGTGGGTATGGAGCCCACGGCTACAGCAGGCCGTCTGTACTTATGTAATTTATTTTGATGGTTGCTGTATGCAGCTTGGTCATTAAAGAATGGCATTAACATGCATGTTGAGTTTGACATTTTGGGATTTTCCCATCTCGTTTATTTTGTAAATTTAATTTGTCGCCACCCCCCAGAGCTGTCAGAGGAGGCCAAAGCGGACCTTCTGGAGTTCGAGGAGAAGGAGAGGCTCAGGAAGCAAGGGCGCTTCGGAGGTCGGGGCCGTGGAAGGGGAGGAGGAAGAGGACGCGGCGGACGGGGCGGGTTCCCCTTGTTCGGGCTGGGAGACTTCAGGGGGGACATCAGGGGACGCATGAATGACCAGAGGATGGCGCCGCTGCTCACCATGCCCATGGGGGTGCAGGTAAACCGGGGGTCGGGTTTTAATGTTGGGAGTTAAAGTGTCTGTGTCCTCCGGTGATGCCGGAGGTGTCCGTGCGTCGGCTGAAAAGTGTTACACTTGATTTGCTCGTCCTCATTCTCTCCTCCACGGTCTTCCCAGAGTAAACCTCACCCTTATGATAATATTAGCCGGGGTTGCAGCTGGCGAGTGTGATATTTGACTTTAATTTGCTCCCCCTCCCCCCGATTGTGACCTGTTGGATCAGCCCGGGTTTGCTTTTGCACAAAGTCAATTATCCGCAGCACCCTTGTTGATATATGGATTATACCAAATGACTTGGCTCGGGTGGGCCTGCAAAGCGTCATGTGAAATTAAATTTGTGACCCTGGCCTGGATTTAGCCCCTATGGGTTTTTTTTTTTTTTAATGATTATTCAGTGTGTACCGAAGCGTGTAATCTGCCCGTTTAGATAGTCGGGGCGGTGGAGCGACTTCTGTAAACTGACAGCCAAGTCGTCGTCCTGCTGGTGGTCACATGACACATTTGCCTGTGTGTCCGTGTTTGTGTGCGTGTCACAGTCACCCCCCCGGATGTCGCCGCTCCACCCGCATCACCAGCTCCACCCGCCACCCCGTGGGCCCTTCCAGGAGCACGGCCCCCCCAGGCAGCCCCCGCAGCCGCTGATCCCACCACACCTGGGCCACCGCTCGGCGCCGGTGCCGCCACCCCACGGCCCGCTGGGCCGCCCCCCAGTCGACGCGGCACAGATGCTGAGCCCCCAGCCGGTGCGCTCCCCCCAGCAGCAGCATCAGCAGCAGCAACATCAGCAACAACCCAAGAACATCCATATCAACCCCCACTTCAGGGGCTTGGCTGCCAACTCCCCCATGCAAGGTCAGCAGCTCCCGGAGACTGGAGGGGAGAGAGATATCAGTCCTGGCACGTGGCATCTCTCACCACGTCGGCCACACCAATCACCCGGCGCTCTGTGTCCCCAAGCTCTGCTTCCTGGCCACTGATTTGCGGCTCTGATTACTGGGCCTGTCTCCTGCCCACAAACACAAAGCACTGCATTCAGCGGCCGTGCCCTCTGGCCCCCGTCCAGTTAGTCTGGCCCCGCCTCCTTCCTCCCGACGCGGGGCTGTCCAGTCACTAGCCCTGCCTGTGGATGTGCATTCTTCCCGACCTCCCCCAACTGGATGCAAACTTAAGATTCGTGCATCCTTTCAAAATCTAAATCGGCCCAGTGAATACCCAGGTGTATGAATGGGGGGGCAAAACACGGATGTATAGGATTCTGGGGATGAGTGTACCTCCCCTGGTAGGAGGGGGGGTGCAGTGCGGTGTGTCCTGTGCTTCAGATTATGGAATGAAAATGTGTACTGAAGGGTTAGGGATGCCCCACAGGGTGGATGCAGGGACACTGTCATATCAGGGCGCTGTCCACATCCTGCCTCCAGACATTATTAAATTCTGGGGGGGGGGTTGTAGGGGGTATGGGGTTGTGACTGACAAACAATGGCGTGTGTGTGTGTGTGTGTGTGTGCGTGCATGCAGGCACACGCTCCCCAGACATGAATGCCATGCGATGCATATTTCAGTGTGAATTGAGCCCGCATCAGCTGACCTGAGCGGATGCTGTGATTGGCTGACTTGTCCCAGCACCCTGCCATACATGCCCATGTGGCTTGTCATCAGGGCAGATGTGACTCTCACCTGGCCAGGGCCCTGTGGGGTTGCTGAATGCTATCATCTTTTTCCTCGCAGTGCCCCTGATGCCCACCCAGAACCAACCCCGGCCCGCTGTGGTTCCCCCAAGGTTTCCGGTAAGGACTGGACGTGTGAGGGCTGGGTCATTTGTGCTGGTAAAGTTTGGGACAGCTGGTAACTTCTAGTACTTAGTTGGGAGTAGTAGTTTAATGGCTAGTGAATTGGGTTACCTTGGAAACGAGGCTTTGGGGGTAGGAGTGTGAGAGTTTGGGATAATTAGGGATAAAACAGAATCTATTTGATGTTAGTCATTATAAATGGCAGCTTTAGGAAATACTACTTTAATGAAGTGCCACTTTTACACAACACAAGTAGGCTATGGTGGACATGCAGGGACAAAAAGCACCCAAATGCCTCAGTACAAATGACAAGCCTCATCAGTGGTAATAAAAACACTGTGGAATATTGATAAAAATAAACGTGTTTAACAGTTAGTTGCTAATTCTGATTGGGAGGCCCGGGGATGTTCTTGAAGCTTCTTTTTTTCGCCGGAGTAGTGTGTCGTGACCGTCTGTGAACGGGCAGCTGCGTGTTGCCCGCCGCCGCGCCCGCCAGCCGCTCGCTGGCTCGGATACGGATCGCCGAGCGTGCCCCGGGTCCTCTTCCCGGAAAATGCCGCTGGGCAGCAGGTGCTGGCGATTGACACATCCCGGGAAAGGGTGTTTGTTGGCAGTATTTATGCAGATTGGGCCTCGTAGGAAGGCGTCTGGGCCCTGGGGGGGCATCTCCCAGAGCCCCCTGCATTTTTCGCTCATTTCAGGATGTCATCCAGCACTTTTTAATGCCCCCCCCCCCCAAATTCTGTTTACAGCGCATGTGCCGAGCCCATTCGGAACGCCAGGATCACTGTCTGCCTGTGCCATATCCCCGACGGCTAACCCCCCCCCCCCCAAGCGCACACATACATGGCCGCAGGACTGTCAGGCGAAGAGGGGGAGGGGAATTTTAAAATGCCGGTTACAAAACAGCCAGTGACATCCATTTGCCAGTGGGCATCTGATTAATGGCGATTATCATACATTATCATACTTTATCGTACTTTCTGATTTAACGATAGCTGGCCGCCTGTCTGCAGAGGGGCTGAGCTTCGGCGTTAATCCCGCCCAGCGTTTACAAACTCAATTTGGGGAACTGTTAAAGGCCGCAGGGCTCTGACGTGCTGCAGGGGGCGCTGGGCAGGGTTATGGGGACCAGTCGCAGGCCCACTGCTGATGGCGGAGGACTGGTTAAGGTCATGTGACAGTAGTTGTCTCGAATTATATAATTCTGTATGTGGCTTCATATAACTGCCTGGGATTATAGTTTTAAATTTGAAAGTGTGCAAAATGTCTTTCTCTTTGTGTATCACTGAACAAGGCTCTGGCATATAGGGGTGAGCTGAGGGGAACTGCTGATATTCTGGTGTAGTTGAGATTAATAGGTATACAGTCCCAAACAAAGCCTAATAAATCTTTCCATTGAATGGGAAAACTCGAGCCTCCTGTTGCTCGAATGCCCAAAAGGCCCATGTCACTTATGGCCGATGGATCGCGTGATGCTCATTTCCTGGAGTGGTGGCTGGGCCTTGCGTAGCCCTGTCTGGCTCTCGTTACGCCTCTGTCGTCGGGCGTCACGTGTCCGTGCTGAAGTCGGTTGTCTGGATATTTAAGGATCCCGAGTGCCAGTTGTGGCAGGTTATCGAGCTGCTGGGTCATCATTTCGATTGGGGTGGGAGGTGAAGAGGAGGTTTATATGGCCTTTTGTATGCGGGGCAGAGCACTGATTACGCTTTTCTCCACGAGGATTAGGAACGATAGCGTCAAGCCATTTACAATGCGCCTAATTCGGGTTAATCGCCACTTCCCGCCGAAAGGTTAATTTCTTAAGCGAAAGAGGGGTTTGGAAGAATAATGGAGTAATGGAAAAGGTTTCTTATTCGGCGGGCGGATTACGGGATTTTTATCGGACTTTCATGGGAGGATGGTAGGTGTTGCTTATTGAACGTCATTTACGGAAATCTGGTGACAGTAAATTCCGAGACGGGTTCCGTCTTAAAGGCCTGCCGTGACCCTTTCGGGTTGTGCCAGGATTTTCTAGCGATGTCACCTGATCGTCCTGCCAAGAAGAATCAGGAATGGATGTAGGTTATAGTTATGGGAATGTGGATATGAAAAATACATATGAAAGTGGGCATCATGCTAACTTAAAGTCCATCTTTATCTGTAGATAAGCTCTGTTTTGTGGTCCTTTTCCCCCCTGGGACTCATGAAATCACCATAAGTAAATGGTGACTGAGGTCTGTTAGCAATGACTCCCTTCCCATTACTTTTGTTGCTTTGATAGTTTATTCTTAGATTTGTCCCAGCTTTTGGCAGCAGGGGGCGGTAGCTGCTGTCGTCACACCAGGTGCCTCCGCTCCATTTTTTTGCCTTGTAGTTCAAGCTATTTGCAGATTCCCCCCCACCCCCTCTATCGGAGTTGACCAGTCTGAGGATTAGTGGGGATGGTCTTCTGTATGCTGTAATGTAGAATATCTGTAATGTAGAAATCAGTAAGAATAGGGGACTGGCTGACGGCTTATTTGCCCATTTTGTGAAGATCATCTGTTAAACCATCAAGCAGCTTCACCAAATAGACGCCAGCTGGAGTTGGGAATGTCTGCTTTTTCCAGAAAGAGCAGGACACCGTCACCCCCCCCCCACGCCCCCTTTTAATCTCACCCCCTCCTCCTGTCTCCTCTAGGGACCAGCGGATTTTCAGCAGCACATTCCTCGTAACTTCACCCCCCCACACAGGCCCCACCCACCGGAGCCCTGGAGGGCCCCCCTGCTCCCCCAGGAGAGAGAGCCTTTCTTCATTGGCGGTGAGACAAAGGAACCCCCCTCCCCCCGATCCCCATTTTCATCCCTCCCCCCACCCCTTCCAGAAAGCTCCGTAGCACCTGTGCCTGCAGATTGAGCGCAGGCAGGCTCTCCTCCGTCACCTCCCCTGTTGTGTCTCTCCCTCGAAGTCCCCTGTCCCCAGCTTGAGATTTGAAAGGTCATGCTGTCGTGGTCCCGTGTCCCCCCGGTATACCTGGCGAGACGCCCTCGTTAGCTGCGGCCAGGTCCACAGACTCGGACCCCCCGATCCCGCCAGCCGGTTGGACACCCTGCACGGTTTCCACCCCAGGATTCTTATATAAACACTGGTGCTTGGGGGTTACTGGACGTGCCACACTGGGGGTGATAACTAGTAATTTAATCTGCCCTGTTTTCTGGTCCAGTTGTCTAGGTGGGCGGTTTGTTTTGCAACAAGTATATGTATTTTCAAGGTTGCTGTAGATGTTTTAGATGAGACAAACGATGTGTTATGTATATATACCCTTGTGTATGTACACTATGGACATAAGTGTTGGGACACCTGGCCATTACATCCATAGGAACTTTTATGACGTCTTATTCTTATAAATCCAAAGGCATCAATATGGTCCCACCTTATATACAACATATTGGAGTGTGTCTGTGGGAACAGAATTGTCCAAAATGCCTTGATATGCTAAAGAGTTTGCTTCACCGTAACTAAGGCGGCTTGTCCAGCCCCTGAAAAACAGCCTCATATGTTTATCCCTCCTCTACCAAACTTTACAGTTGGTACAGTGCAGTAAAGCAGGGAATGTCCTGCTGGCATCTGCCAAGCCCAGATTTATCCATCAGACCACCAGACAGAGAAGCGTGATTCGTCACTGCACAGGACGTTTCCGCTGCTCCAGAGTCCGGTGGTAGTACCTTACGCCACTCCATCCGACGCTTCACATTGCGCTTGGTGATGTGAGGCTTGCATGCAGCTGCTCGGCCATGGAAGCCCGTTCCATGACGCTCCCAGTGGTTGTGCTGCGGTTAATGCCAGAGGAAGTTTGGAAGTCTGCGGCTGTTTAGTCAGCAGAGCGATGGTGGCTTGCGCTTTATGTGCCTCAGCACTCTGAGAACCCGCTTGTCGCTTCCACGGTCAGCCACTTCTTGGCTGAATTTCTGTTGTTCCTAAATGCTTCCACTTACAGTTGACCATGTAATATCTAACAGGGAAGAAATTTCACGAACTGACTTATTGCAAAGGTGGCATCCTGTGACAGAACCACGCTCCAGAACAACTCATCCTTTCACAAATGTTTCTAACCCTGACTGCATGGCTAAGGTGCATGATTATATACACTTGAGGCAGGTGGTCTGAATGAAACGCCTGGATTCAGTGATTCAGAGGTGTATCCCAGTACTTTTGTTCATATAATGTATATAAACCAGCTCCCCTGTTTCACACTGTCCTGTGTTTTGCACCATAATTGCTGTCTCTATGTCACATTGTGGTCTTGTGGAACAGCATTTCATGCCTCCGTATACATGTGTATGGATGGTTCGGCTGTGAATCCTACTTACACGACTAAGCGGCTCCTTGACTGGCAAGGATGCTGGGCAGCGGCGTTACTCTTTGGTGTGTGAAACGTGACCGTCGCCTCCTCTTGATCCTGATTCCTGTGTTACGGGCTTAAACTGTGTTAATCCTTATGTTTCATAGCGTTAGTGATTGACTGTCCCCTGTGCGACAGGGCAGATTAGCACCAGACCAGCAGCAAATGGAGCCCGGCTGTTCACAGGCCCTTTGAGGGCCCGATCGGGTTTCTTCAGTACCCCCCCGGTGGCCTGCTGAGTTACCCCGGACACCCCTGGCCTGCCCCTCTGTTAACAAGCTGGTTACCTCTTACCTCACTGCTCTCACATGTCACCGGTTTTCGGGGAGATGAGATGTCCGGATCTGCCTTGACGATTCCTTAAGGGATACCGTTTTGTCCGTTAAGGCCACGTGTGTCTTTTAATGACAGGGTGATTTCTAGCTTCTCTGCTCTGATTTCGTCTGCTGTCCACTGAGACAGAGCTCATATTCACGTCTGAGATAAATTGAACCTTGAGCCCTGCCCATAAACGGTGTGTCGACCATTGGCGAGAACTTTGTGTCTGCAGTCACTTGTTGAAATGTGTGGCGTTATTTAGTTTTTGGATACCTGGAGTCTGTTTCAGTGGAACGTCTTGGTTGTGAAAAATTACCCCAGAATAAGTATGTGGACTGAAACCTTCCCCATCAGACCCCCCACCCATCACTATCCGCATCTGTATTTCTCTGTAATTTTTGCTTGATCTTTGTGCCATTTAAATATTACCATATTCCCTTGATATACCACCTGTGCACTGAAATCCCTGTTTGTTAACTTCGATATCGATTTGCCTGCAGTCCAGTTGGACCAGGTGTTGTGATGATTCTGAAGGGTGTGTTTGTGTCCTGTGTGCTCGCTGCCCCTTACCAGTGAGCCACCATGTGCTGATATCGTCCCCCCTCCCCCCCACCGGTCCCTCAGAGCCCCGCTTCCCCGGCCACCACATGCTGGATCAGCAGAATGCCCCAGCTCCCTTGATGAGCCACGGTCACCCCCTTCCTGGCCCCGGCCCCGGGCCCCTGACCTTCGGCCAGGGTCAGCAGCAGCCTCCACCGCCTCCACAACCCCCGCTGGCCCAGCAGCAGCCCCCACCCATCTTCCAGAGGGAGCCGATCCGGCCCGGCCTGCCGCCACAGGGGCCCCTGGGCATGCAGGGCCTGGGCCAGCATGGGCCCCCCAACCCCAGGCAGCATTTCATGCCACCCCGACAGCAGCAGCAGCAGCAGTTCCCCGGGCACCAGCCGGGGCCTCCCTTCCCTCCGCAGCACTTGCAGTTTGGCATGCAGGTACGACAGAGAGTAAGTTGCAGCGCCCTCTGTTGGTGGCACCCGGTGCGGCATGACATGCTTCGTCGAAAATGTTTATCAGGTTCTAATTATCCCTGATTTAAATCAGGGAGTGGTGCTGGCCCCTAAATAAGCTCTCCCTTTCAAGGGATAATTCTGTGTAAAGACCACAAAACCCAGACAAAATATTGGAATAATCTGCATGCGGAGCTTAGAATGCTGCACACTTGACAAATGCCAAATCTACTTTTAACAAAGGGTGTGGGCAGCAGTGGTGGTGTCCCCCTACTCCTGTACCTTTGTGGTTATAGACGGGCTCCACATCCAGCCGCAGACTGGAGCGCCCTCTAGTGTCAGCATTTGAGTATGACCCCCTTTTCCTCTCCCTGACCTTAGATGGGGTCAGTGCTTGCATAAAAGGCACAGGGAATGGACCTGGTCAGTCACTGTTTTTGGGGAGGGGCTTAGGGGTGACACCCCCCATAAGGCTGCTTCTCCTCATGGCGCCACACGTTCCTAGATCACAGTCCCAGACTCCAAACACATCTCTGTTTGGCGGTATAGGACGCCGGTTTGGATGAGCAGTCTGCCTGGTGTTTTTCTGGCCACACGCCGTTCCACAGTGTCGCCTGTCAGTCCTGATTACTTTTATATTTATGCAGCAAATTCTCAAATAGTTTCAGTTTTTTAATTTTATCATTATCATGTAAATGAGGACGTTCGTCTTGGGGCTGGGTCGCCCTGAGCTCTTATATATCGTTAGTATATGTTAATGCTTCGATATTCCCTGCTGGGATCCCCGCGTCCCGAGCCAAAATTGAAATGGACCCCCCCCCCCCCAAAAAAAAAAAAACAGAAAGCCACCAAAGGTTATTTGGTGAAAGGACGGATCCGCTGGCTTGTGGTGAGATTCTGGGGGCCACTGTGGTGCTGATTTGGTCGAGGTTCCAGGCCAGTCCGGTGTTTCACGTTTTTGTTTATGGCTGTTTCAGGGTCTGCCCCCCCCACCGCATGGCCAGCCCCAGCACCACGACATGCAGCAGCAGCCGCCCCCCTTGCCTCCACCCCAGCACCACCATGGCCAGCACCCCCACCACCCAGGGGGCCATGCACAGCCACAAGCCCCCTTTCGGCAGCCCCCGCCACCCCACGGCATCCAGCCACAGCTGCACCACCACCTGCAGCACCCGCCACGCCCGCTACGCCCCCAGCCTCGACTTGTTCCCATCAAGCCCCGCATGGTGAGGACACCCCCACCCCCCCATCATATGCTAAAACTGTCTGTTGCCCTTGTCACTCGCTCGCTCTGTCTCTCTCTCTGTCTGCCTGCCTGTCGCAATCTCTCTAGCTGTCTCGCTGTCGTCTATTGCTCTCTCTCACATTCTATTGCTTTCTGTCGCTCAGTCACTTGCTTACTGTCTGTTGCTCTCTCGCTCTACCACTCTATCAGTCTGTCTCAGTCGCTCACTCGCCCTCTGTGTCTGTCGCACTGTCTGTGTCGCTATCTCTCTCTCAATCGCCTGCTCTGTCTCTCTCTCTGTCTGCCTGTCTGTCACAGTCTCTCTGTAGCTGTCTCACTGTCTTGTCTGTTGCTCTGTCTCTGTCTGTCACATTCTATTGCTTTGTCACTCTCTCACTTGCTCACTGTATCTGTCGCTCTCTCTCGCTCTGTCTGTCGCTAACTTGCCCTCTCTGTGTCTGTCTCCCTGTTTGTCTGCTGGTCTTTCTCTCTATCACTCACTCGCCTGCTCTGTCACTCTCTCTGTCTGCCTGTCAGTCTTTCTGTTGCTCTCTCTCGCTCTCTTGTCTTTTGCTCTGTCCCTCTACCTGTTTGTCTGTCACTCTCTGTCACTTGCTCACTGTCTGTTGCTCTCTTGCTCAGTCTCTGTGTCTGTCGCTCTACCTGTTGCTCTACCACTCTCCATTGCTCTCTCTGCCTGTCTGTCATGCTCTCAGTGTCTCTGGCTCTCTGTCGCTCTGTCACTCGCTAACTCTGTCTGTCGGTGGCTCTCGCCGTCTCCTTTCTGTCTTTCCCGTTCTCCTAAATGTGCTGAATTGCTTAGTGTTCTCTGGTTTTGCCAGGTACAGAGCTGAGGGCATTTTGGGTGGCATGCCATTCCTTTGCCCACTTACACACTTTGGGTAATCTGAAGACTGCATTTTCTCATGTTGTGATTTTTTTATTTGGGGAGAGGGAATCTAGAGCAGTGTTTCCCAACCCAGTCCTCAGGAAACCCCACGTTTTTGCTCCCTCCTAGCTCCCAGCCAATCAGGAACACCGAATACCTGGTACAGGTGCGCTGGGAGCTGAGAGGAAGCAGAAACGTGGACTGTGTGGGGTTCCCTGAGGACTGGGTTGGGAAACACTGCTTTAGAGTACCCAGGCAAAACAAGGGGGATTCCACACGCACACAGGTGGGGAGGAAATCGAACCTGCAGCCCTGGAGTTGAGACTGCACTGCTGTCATTAGTGTTTGTGACGTGCTGCTAACGTGATCTGAAGCCTGGGGTATGAAGTGACTGCCTGACCCGTGGTTAACCAGCACAGCCTGGAAGAAGCAGCTTCCAGCGCGTCTTCAGTGATCCAAGTGTGTTGGATTGGCTTAATTATTTGTGAGCTCTGCTGTTCGTGCCCAGGGTGCCCTCTTCTGGCCACAAGTGTAACTGCACTCTCTGTGGTTCAGATTGCGTTAAAGCTGCTTTTGCTGTTTGCTCCAGTGCTGTGTGTGGGTGACCTTTCTGGATCTTCCCACCAGAACCCACCGGCCCCCAATATGATGAAACCCCCCATCCAGCAGGTGCAGGCCCTCCAGCGCAACAGCAACCTGCGCGAGCTCCCTGTGGCCCCCGCCAGTATGAGTGCCGCCGCCTCCCCCCTGCCCACCTCCATGCCTGCCGCGCAGATTCGGCCCACGGCCCGTCGGCTGCCTCCCCCTGGTAAGATGGAGGTGCCCAGGACCCCCGACCGGACGGTGCTTCAGAAGGTCAAGCCGGAGCCCCCAGTTGTGCAGCCTGGACCCAGTCAGATGGTCGAGCCGGAGGTCGGTTGCTCAGCTTTGGTGTGGTTAAATCTTGCCAGCTGGGGCTATAAATGCACCAGCATGCATTGTTCATATGATATGGGCCTGTGTCCTTTGGAAATGTCACAGCTGTCCTGAAGTGTCCAGCCCCCAAGGTGGTAAAATGCAGCTGTAAATGTTATGTGATATCAGTCACCCTCAAGGCTGCAGTTTAAACGCTGCCTGAGATGTTGCTCCACATCGCCCCCTTGTGGGTGCATTTATACGGCCGCGAGTGTGTCGCGCTGCTGCCTGCTCACGCTGCCGTTTATTCCTCTGGTGCCCCAGGACCCAGATGAGGATGAGGAGACCCGCCTGTACCGGCTGAAGATTGAAGAGCAGAAGCGTCTGCGGGAGGAGATCCTGAAACGCAAGGAGCTGCGCAGGCAGCTGCAAGCTGGCATGAGGAAGAAGGAGCTGTTGGAGAGACTGGCCAGTCAGCAGCAGGGTCCGCAGCCCCCCACGCAGCCGCCGCCACAGTCGCCCCTGCCCCAGCCACCTGTGCAGACCCCAGCCTCTAATGGAGCGGCCCAAGCCCTGCCTCCACCCGGCCCCGCCCCCTCGCCCCGGCCCAACGTCAAGGCCCGCCTCCTCCTGAACAAGCCCCCCACTCAGGGATGGCCGGGCCCTCCCCAGCAAAACATCCAGCCCCAGCAGGGCCCCGAGTTCGCGCCCCCGCTAGCCAGGAGCCCCACCCGGCCGGGCCCCCAGTTCCAGAGTCCGCAGGCCCCCGGCAGGCAGCATGTGACCCCGGTTCCCATGTCGGGGCCACAGCCACTGCAGCAGCACCCACCCCCTCCCCAGCAGGCAATCGCCAGGGACGCCCAAAGCCGGCCACAGGACCTGAAGCCCGGCGTGAAGCGCACTGTCATGCAGAGGGCCAATTCCGGCGGGCGGGACGGACACCTGCTGCCTCAGAAAGTCCGCGTGGTCAAGCTTCTCGGGGGGGTGAGTGCTCAATCTGCTGAGAGCACCTGGTCATATTAAACTTGATTATCGCTAGGATGGGCTGTGGCTGCTTATCCCCTTGACGCTCACTCCATTCCTGCTGGCGATTGATCGGTGCCACTTTCGTCGAGACATTGGGGGGGGGGTTCACGCTCGGCATGGGTGGGTGTTAAATTGGCAGGTGGGGTGGTGACATTTATCTAAAGAGCGTAATGGCACATTGGGAAGCTGAGATGGATGGCATCTTTGAAACAGAGATGTCTCTCTCTCCCTCGCTCACGTTCTCTCTCTTTATCTGTCTCTGTGTTACTTTTCTCTTTTAAAGGGGATTTAGGGTGGGGGCTGTAGATAGGTATGAAATATGCCATTTCCCCCCCCCCCCCCTGCAACCTAACACGTCGTCCCACGCCGCTGATGAAGATAGGGCTGTCTGCAGTAATAAAAACTCGCTCAATGCTTGGAGGCTGGGGGGGGGGGGGGGGGGGCAGACAGGAGCTCGGCACTGCTTAGGACCGCCAGCCTGCAGTCTCCCTCCCGCCTGCTGACTCTGTTATCTCTCTCAGCTTCCGGAAGGGTCCGATATCTCTCAGGTGTGCCGCAACCAATGTCACTCCAAGACATGCAATTAATCTTGCACAGCGTGGCTGGGCGGGGGGGGGGGGGGGGGGGTTAGCTATAATACCTAAGAAGAAAGAGTTCCCAGTTTGGCAGATTCGGATTTCAGGAGCTTAACAGCCGATAAGGGAAATTAATTTTTCAGAAGGAATAATGCAGGATAAGAGAGACAGGAAGCCTGGGGGCGGACGCGAGGGGTGGGGGGGGGGGGCTGTGAGGCGTCGTTACCCTGAGCGAGACGCCGCTCTCGCGCCGGACGGCTGTGAGGATTATCCTGTCTGTGCCCATGGAAATGGGGGCCCCGTGCTTCTCCGCGACTGAGCCGTCAGATTCCCATCTTACAGCTTTTTAAGGAACGTCATGAGAGGATCCCCTCCCCCCCTTACCGCCGAGCGCTTTGTGCAAGCCTAATGGAAATGTCGTCCTGACAAGTCCATCCCATAATTAAAGGCAAATGGCAGCTTTCGTCATAGAAACGTTAAGGTGCATGCTGCCCCCTTGTGGCTGGTGGTCTTTATAAGTGCCGGAGACTTTTAATGAGAAGGGGGGGGAAGTTAATTTCGGCCTCTCCTAACCTCCCCCCTCTAGGGAGGTGAGCTCTGCGACAGCGCCAACGCCCCACCGCACCTGCAGAGGGCGCGCCCCCCCCCCCAGCTGCGGCAGGTGCCTGTGAGGAAGGTCACTGTGGGCAACTTGGGCCAGAACCCCCAGATGCAGGCTCACCCACAGAACCTGCAGCAGCTGACGCCACACATGGGCCGGGGCGCCCCCATCAACCCGTTACAGGCCCGGGTGAGACTCCACTCGCACGCCCTCTCAGGCATGGGGTTAGTCAGCTGGTTTGATGATCCCGGTCCTTAAAGGGGTCTGCAGTCATCACACATATCATCTGATATTGTCAGTTGGCTATTATGGTGCTCTAATGGCTGTGCCCCCCCCCATTTCTGTTCTCACTTCCAACCTGAGGCTTTACCTCCTGCTGTCTGTGACATTTTAACATTTAAATTCTAGGCTTTTGCCTTAAGCAGTCGTATAACTTTAAGGGGGGGGTTTGTGTGTCTGTGTCTCCCCCTGTATAAAACCATCATTCCAGGTATGAATTGGTGATTTGCTCATCCTTGCAGGGGCGTGGCAGGGGCGGAGCCATGGGGGGCATGGGGGGGCGTGGCAGAGGCAGGGCCATGCCGACCAGACAGGGCATGCGTGCCCCCGACAACCAGCTGTGTGGGGTGTCCATCGAGGGCCTGTCGTCCTCCACCACCGACGTGCAGCTGAAGAACCTTCTGATGTCCATTGGTCCCATCCAGGTAAGCCCCCCCAAGCCAGGAGGGCTACAGGGAGAAGCCTGTGGTGGGTGGCCGCTGCTACTAATGCCTCCTCATTCCCCCCCCCCGACATGCCCATAGATGTTCAAGATGATTCCACACCAACGGAAGGCCATTGCGAAGTTCACCAACCCTCAGCATGCATACAGTTTCCAGCAGAGTTTTCACAGGTAAGTTGTGGTGTCCTGCACCTCCCCTTGTGGCCAGAGGAGGGCGCCGTGAGGAGTAACTCTAACCCCCCCCCTCCCCCGCCACCGATAAATAAAACACACTGTACGTTGTCCCACGCAGGCACATGATAGATCTGTCGCATATCGATGTTTCACTGATCGACGGCTGAAATGAGGCAGTCGAGGGTTGGGGGAGGAGCGGACGGCGGAGGGCGGTCTGGCCTTTGCGGGTGTGACGGCAGCAGCGACGGCGGTGACCGCGCACACCTTCATGGCGGGGATTGCCGGACTCCAGCGGCTGTCTGTCCTTGGACGTCATCCTGCAAGACACTCAAAAGAGAAATTGCTCATTTCGGCCCTGCGGTCGTCAAATGTTCAGTCGGGGGTGCAGAAATGGAGGGGCCTCCGTGCAGACCTCCTCCAGTGAAGACTGGGACCTGCTGGCGAGGCCCTTCCCACGTCTAACGGCGAGATTGAGCGAGGACTGGAACCGGAAATAATGGTTGTTCCCATCTTGCGGAATTTCAGTACATCGTCTCTCCTTGAGATGGAAAGCTGTGGCTCCATCTGTTGTACCACAGGACAACTTTATTAACTTACATTCGGGTCTTTGTTCTTTTTTTCAATTCTTGACAATACCGTGTAGAGCCTCTGGGTAGCACTCAGTCAGGTTATCTGACACTCCATGACTTCTGGAATACTTAGTAGTTTTCTATAGCACCACCTACTGGACGAAATATGTATTTGTAAGCCATTATCTTCCTTTTTCTCCGTGGATGAATGTAACGCTACTGTCTAGTGGTTTAAATTTGCAGATCGTCTGTTTTGATATGGGTCTGAGACTCCGGCTTTGATAAGACAGTGTGCCCTTACCAAAATGTGCATGTTTCTCTAGAGTATAAACTGCATAACAGGATTTGCTGGGCTGGCTTTATGGTCCGTTCACACGATGCGAGGAACACCGAAGAATCTTGCAAGCATTTATCTTGCATGCAGATTCGGGCTGATGTGATGTAGCACAGGGAAATAATAGCACCCGTACAGATACGTTTAGGATGCTGTGTAGCTTGTGCAGCTAACTTGATTGGGTCTTCATTCGACACCACATGACCTTAGAGGACCTGTAGAACACTCTCAATTTTGTCCCTGCCCTCTGACTGTGCATGGATTTGTTGCCCTCTAGTGACAATCTGTCAAGTCCCTGTGTCTGTCTCCATCAGGGATCCTTAAATGCCTGAGGAACCTGATTTGTCTCCTCGCTGACCGTGATTTTGCTCCATTGTGGATTTTTTTTTTTTTAATTGTCGCTGCGGTTAGAGTACCTGAGAACTGTGGCTAAATGTATATATATTTTTTACATTTAGAAAGTAGTTTTAATTTTCCTCTGCACGTCTGGTATAGGTGAGACTGACAGAGGGGGGTTTCCGTACCTGTGTGTGTAGCTCAGCCGGGTACCTGAATTGCTTTGTGCGCGGTGACAGCGTTGCCCACCCCCCTCTTAAGGGTAAGCCAAACAGTGTAACCCGCTGTGGCTGTGCTGAGTTTAGCTTCCCTGCTTTTTAGCGGGATGTAAAGCTCTGTTACAATGCCTGGATATTCAGGGCCACGTTAGCGTGCCTTGCTTAGGGTTCCCTGTGTTCTCTTGCCTCAAATATTAGTTTTTTTTTTTTTTTTAGCAGTGTTCTTTGAAGGTAGACTGAAAAGTCTGTGAGATCGCGCCTGTTGCGTATAGGGCTGAGCAAGTTCAGAACCTGTAGCTTACTACTACAGATTGACTATGTGTCTACTTAGGTGCAGGCTGAACACAGCGTGAGCAGGTGTAGATCTCCGTGCCTTAGCAGGCACCAGGCACCGAGACGTTTAGGTATGTCCAGCTGTAAGACCTAGCCTAGTGGGGTCTATTCCTTCAGATGTTCTGGGGTCTGTTCTGTTCAGATGCTGTCATCAGCACTTGGATAATGCCCCCCTGCTCAAGTCTTTCACCAGAACGTTCTTTTATATGGCATTTATTCTGCGAACGTGGTTTTAATCCCCAGCTTCTTCTTCTTCCTTTAACCTTAGTTGTGCCAGTTAAATACCTTTCAAAGCAAGATGAGTTGACCTCTGAGCCCTTTTAGTCACGGAGATAGTTTTTTTCGCCACGTTATGGTACCAGACGTGTTTATGCCAGTGAAGGAGATGCTGAAGGTAGTTGAGGTTGTAAATTCCTCTATCTGGTGGTATGGTTTCTGTTTCTCAACTAGTCACACTAAAACCCACTATTCTAACTAAGGACCATGAGGGTAGCTGGAATATACCCGTGTTGGGTGGTTGTGTAGAATTAAAGCAAGTGGAATCCCATTCTGCAGGTTATCTCCATTTCAAGCAGCTCACCACAGCATACTGTCTTATCAAAATAATGCCTTTTCATTTTATGGAACAAACAATTTTTTTGACTGTATTCAGATGTAACAGGAAAGGGGGATTTGAACAGTCTTGTGGAAACATGTCCCGATGACTTGGATATGATCCATGTGGGATTCTGATACCCGGGAGAGATTGTTCTTTGGTAAGATGTGGGACAACCATTATCGATTTCACCGGCTGTGTACATTTTAGACCGAGAGGATCGGTCAGGATTCTGTTGAGCACTGTTTATAGATCTTGTTTGAGTTCGTGTGCGTAATCTTTCTCCCCCAGGTTCCTTAAACAGTAACTCCTGTTGCATGTATTAAGTAAACCTTTTTTATGACGATGTTGACATTGGTCTTTTATTTATCATTTCAGTTGATGCTGGTTTTATGAGTCTTGGGTTCAGTTTAGAAGCTTTCGGAAACAGAGCATTTTGGAAACCAAAAGTGTCAAAGAAAAAAATGTTTTTGTGTATTAATTGTGTGTCAGGTGCTTCACCTTTATGACCCTACGGTTTGTCTGACTCGTCCATTTACCCTTTTTCTGTTCTCCTGTCCTTTACGATGATCCGGCCCCACAAATGGAAGAGGTTTGTGTTTCCATCAAACGGAGGGGGGCAGCACTGAGTGCTTGTGTGACATATCAGCTGGAAAACAGGCAACATTTCTGCTTGTTTTGTGTCTGAAGGTTTCAGTTCTCATGTTGGTTTGATATTGTAAGTTCTTATGCAGTGTTTTGGGAAAGTATGAAATATCTTCATCTGCCTTTAATGTTCTTAACAGTTAAATTTATCACTAAGGACTCCTCAGTTTCAGCTCAGTCGAAGCCGATGCTGAAGTGTGTGTGTGTGTGTGCGCGTCTGAGTGTGTGTATGCTGTGTCTGCACTGTAAGTCCGTGGTAAACTACCATTGTTTTATATATATTTGCAAGAGCAATGGGTGCATATTTTTGTTTTTTGTTTTCTTTTTCATTAGTACTTTTTTATTTCTATTTTATGGTCAGAGGTCATGACCTTATGGGTTGAGCACCCGTGGTGCTTGTATGTGCTGTTGTTTTTCTTTTTTTATGTCCCCCCCCTCCCCTCCCCCGTCAGGGGCATTTTAACCTGACCAGTAAAATGCATTTTAAGAAGGTTCTTAATTCTGATGGTTTGCTTGTTTGTGGTGGGTGTACAAACTTTAATGTAAATCCTATGGATTTGGAGAGTTTGTTACACCAATTCCTACGCTAGTTTTAAGCATTTGCTTATGCAGAAATCCAGGTCCATATTGGACCTCCTCGTATCTTTTATAAGACTTAGTCTGGCTAGAAACAGCCTCTGTTATCCTGTATCAGGGTGGCTGACACCTTCTGTTTAACTTGAAGCTTTGTGGTTGCAAGTTAATTGGTTGCTTTACTTTTTATAAACCTGTAAGGAGGCTTATTTCTAGAAAATTTTCATTAATTGCTGCTAAGCAGCTGTAATACTGTTTTACATCGTTATGTAATCTGTGTAATACCTTGAACAGCTAAGGCATCCTAATCAAAATAACTGCAGGTAAAATGTAGTTCATATTTGCATTACTCTTGCCATTGATATAAAATGGGCTGGGGTTAGGGGTGTGGGGTGGATTTTGAGGTATGTGACTGTCATTTTGTCTCTGTGTTTCTCTGGTGTGATGTGGAAACACTGAAATTTGACCAAATATTTGCCTTGTCTGGGAGTAGGGAGGTGTGTTCTGTGTTTTTGTGGGAAGGGCAGTCTGGCATTTTCTCATTTCCCGGTGACCTCTAACCTTTTCTTCCTACAGGGACTCTGGACACGTGCTGATCTCTCAACAACTTTGTTTATCTATCAGATTGCTATTTGCCCCCCCGGTTGGTGCCTGAGGATGTGGCGTGCCCCCTGCATCCCCCCCCCCCCCAAATGCTGCTTGGTCTCTTCCAGTTAATGTGACTCTCTTTTTTTTACAGGTCATTGCTTCCTGGGTCACCCTGAACACTCTCAGCCATGCTAACCAGTCTGTCTGTTTTCAGATGCCCCCCTTGAAGGACTCTGGACCCGTCCCATGTTGTTTGTGCTGTATTTTTTAATGACCTTTAACCTCACACTCTCTACACACGCATACATAAAATGGGCTTCTATTTTCGTGGGTCTTCTGGAGGTGGGAGGGAGGGTGCACTGTGTTATTAAATGAACTGAACCATTGTGTGTTGAATAGGTCCTGGAACAGCCATTGTTTTGTTAGCCCAGGGGACGGAGGTTCTGGACAGCGACCAGGCTGGCGCTATCATAGTCGGATACTTGCCCCGCTCTCTCCATATCAGCCCCCCACCCCACCCTGTGACCTTGCTCCTCAGGTGCTTGGTTTCTGTGAGGTACCGAGGGCTTCTGTATTACGCTTAAAGGAAGCAGCCTGTTCGTTTTGTTCTCCGAGTCTGGTCGATATAATCCTGTCGTCTGAATTGTTGCAAAGACAAACCCTGTGTGGTACATCTTCTGTATATCGATGATTGGCCTCGCGTGTAAAACGAAAGCCTCTTGTGCAAACCTGTACAAACGAATAAAGCGTCTGACAGCAAATGTTTGCAGTCAGATATTCTCCATTGTTACAAAAGCATTGCTTATGTCCTAGAAGAACAAACGAATAATAAATTTTATATTTCATCAAATCAACTTGTTTATGTTTGCATCTGTTTCCAAGCTTTATCTTTGGTCATTGTGGGTAAAATATATGCACATCCATCACCCGACACTGGTGTAACACTGTGTGAATCAGTTAATGGCAGAAGACCCCGGTCATTTATTTTATTTTAACCCATTCTTCTTGAAGGAATATGTTGTATGAAGCTCTCAGGTTAAGTACAAATGATAGAGAATGCATGTTTAATGACACCATCTTTGCACATCAATGATAAAAGGTGGTAACAGTGATATACTGATACAGATCATGGCAAAGGCATGTACAGACGGTGAATGGCAAACCCACAAAAGTGCTCAAATGAAAAGTCAAGCTGATTTCAGTTTCGTTTTGCCTCACTTGGATTATTCATGCGGTTCTGCGATGCCTTCGGCAGGAAGCCTGTGCGTTTCCTAGCAGCTTTGTGTCCTGTCGTCCAACTGCCTGCCCCTTTAGAAACATGTGCAACACCTGTGTTTTTACTCATTTATAAGGGTATTTTATTCTAATGATCTTCCCTTAGGGAATACCTGTTACCCAAGGCTAATTGCATGGCTTGAAGTTGTAGTCAAATCCATACGGCTGAGTGTTTCCAGGTAGAAATATGTTTTTCGGGGGGGTGGTTGAGCTACATTCTAATCTGTAAACTAGTTTCTCAACTACTGTTTGGGTTTTGTTGATTGAGTGAACCAATAGTGGAAGGTTTTCTGAGTATGTCCCTCCTCCTCCCCTTCCTGATTGGTTGATTGATCATGTTAGTCTCCTAAATGGCTCAGCAGTTTAAATGAGGGGAAAATCAGATCCTATATCCTTCATGCTGGCACCTGGGTTTCTGTTTTGCTTCCATCCATCTTCCTTCTGGGTGTCCATCTCAGACATTGACCTGCTACGTCACCAGGCGCAAGTGTCAAGGATCAAGGGTATCTTGTCCTTGATGGGCAATTTGTATGGACACTGCTGACTATACAACAAACATCAGACAAGCAATAATAAACAGGTGATTATAAATCACTGGGTTAAAAATAAAAAGTTGACAGACAATAATTACAATAAAAAAATTGTACAAACTGACATTTAAACAGCCAGTGGCACCTGGGACAAATGCGTGTCAGCACAGGTTATAAACCACCACACGCTCCAGAACGGCTGCCTGTTGGTTTTTGCAGCACCAGATGGTTGCTGGGAGAGTGTTGTGTGATTCCTCCTGGGAATGTGGGTTTGACTCGAGACATTTAAACAATATTTAAGCGCGCACGCAAAAGTAAGATCATATAAAATTTTTGCTCAGGTCCCTCCAGGGCCTCCGTATGGCTCTGAGGCTATAACCTGCTTAATACTCCTGCATTGAGCATTAACTGTAGCCTTGGGAAGTGGCCTAGGCTGCTGTGAGCATTTATACTTGTGCACTGGTGTGTCTGTTGCTCTGCGAATACACCGCCGAAGCACTGTTTAGCTGAGCGTAGTGGGCTTTGTAGTTTCCTAAAACATTCTTACTTTGTTATATACGGAGCCCCCAAAGGGACCTGTGCAAGAAAATAAAATGTTTTTACTTACTTTCACGTGCGCAAATTTTCGTTTGATGAAATGAGGAAATTTCATTGTACACCTGTGCATTGATTGTTTAGGTAATGACTGCCATCTCCCCTGGTCCTAAATGACTGGGGAGACTTGCTTGTTTTCTTCAGGCAATCATTTTTATATGTTTCATTAGAACCGCACCAGACAAAAGTTCCAGCATCATCTCCTTGGCCAATGTAGATTCATGATTCATCACTGAGCATCATTTTCATCCAGTCATCCTCACTTCATGATTGCTTCTCTTTAATCAACTGATACCTTGTTTTCTACTGTTGCGGTATTAGTGCTGTTTTTCATGTAGCTTTTGTATTTGTAAATCCCATTTCATTCAGCCGATTTCTTATAGTTACTTCACAAACATTGACTCCTGTTTCTGCCCATTCGCTTGTCTTTTGTTTTATTGTCCATTTTCTGTTTTCAAGCCATATTGCTTTGAGTTTTCTATCTTGATGCTTTGACATCTTTCTTGGTCTGCCTGTATGTTTTCCTTTTACATCCTTCCCAGTTTGCTTATACCTGCACCAAATTTTAGACACAGGTGACTGGGAACAACCAACATCTTTTGCCACATTCCATGTTGCATTTGCCTCTTGAATGAGTTTTATAATCAGTCCTATTATTTTAATTGACAACTCTCTTGTTGGGGGCATTTTTTCTTTCAATCGGCAAAGTTGACAAGCTTACACAAGATCTGTAAGCACTCTCCTCTAACTGCAGACTAATTTGCATTGTTAGACTTGTGCCAGTATTTGTTTTTGAAATGCAAATTTGAAATGCAAAGGTGGTTCCATATTTTTTTTCTCTACTTGATCTGAACAAAACTATGCCATTAATTAAAATAATTCTGTTTAATTTGTTTGAGATACATTGAAAATGTTCAGCGATCAAACAAAAATTGTTTCATGGCATATGTGTAATTTGTTTATTTGCCATGAAGTTAAAAAGTTGAGTGAACGTCCTCTAAGTTGGTGATTGCATAATTTTTGCCAGGGGTTGTATGACACCCCCCCCCCCTATATAATTTCTTAGGTAAACCTGCTCCTCCAAACAGATAACACATATTAATGGCTCGTGGGTCTGTATGTCATGATTAACCATGGAGACACTGTTGACAGATTGAAGCAGCTATCTGGAAGTTAATGATGGAAGACTGGGTTCAAAGCAAAACCTGTTCAGATTGCAAACCAGAATCCATATCTGCCTGTGAAGCATTTTCAGTCACATGTCCACAAGATGGCACCCCTACACTGTACTTTCTGGCAAGTATGGTGGTGTCCAGATTCCCAGAATTGTTAAAAGGGATTTGTTCACTTGATATTGAACTTCTTCTAGTTGTTTTTTTTTAAAAGCTTATTTCTAGGCATGCATACGATACTCATCAAATCTTTGCTTCTATAAATCAATATTGTGGGACAGGTATTGCTGTAGCAGATTTCACTCTGTTTCACATTTGTTCATGTGGGATAGTATGAAGATGCGCCTTACCGAGCAAAAAAATGTGATTAAGTGTCTTAAGGCAAAGTAACCAACCCCTCCACAAAATCCCAGCATCCTCAGCCCAGTGGAATACTGGGAACCACTACTATAAAAGGTACTGCTACTCCTAAGTAGTGAGAAAACGTGAAGAAGTGCCCAAACAGGTGCTGCTCCAGGGGGGCAAAATGTATTGGTGTGCTGTAAAGGTTGTCCATTCATGTATAAGAATATGGGGAATTGTCCTAATGGATGCCCCTTCAGTGGAGAAAATGTGATTTAGTGCCCTCTAGGGTGCCCTTATAACTTAGTAAACCAGAGGTGCCCTCTAGGGTGCCTTTTCAAGTGAGCAACCATGATGAAGTGCCCTTGGGGGTGCCTTTTCAAGTGAGCCACCATGATGAAGTGCCCTTGGGGGTGCCCTTCCAAGTGAGCCACCATGATGAAGTGCCCTTGGGGGTGCCCTTCCAAGTGAGCCACCATGATGAAGTGCCCTTGGGGGTGCCCTTCCAAGTGAGC